AGCCACCCCTAACCCACCAACGACGCCGCAACACCACGACCCACACCAAACCCCACCGAAACTACCACCACAATCCCACCCCCACCAAACACCACCACAATCCCACCCACACCAAACACCACCACAATACACCAGCCCCCACCACCACCGACACCACCACACCACCCCACCACACCACACCACACCACCACGCAAACAACATACACAATTAACCCCAAAAAATCGCAAAAAAAATTAAACATCAAAAAAGAAAAAAAAACGAAAATTAAACATCGAAAAGCAAAAAAAACAGAAAATCAAACGAAAAATAAACATCTAAAATTAGATCTACAAAAATTAGACATCGAAAATCACAAAAAACGAAAATTAAACGAAATAATAATTCGACCACGTACCTTGAATTCCTTCAAAACCCCTAAATTAGCTTGAATTTGGGTTTTAAAGGTCAAATTCGACCATGAAAACTCTAGATCTAGGGTTTTCATGGTCGAATTTAACATGAAAAATCGGGTGGTGGTGTATTGTTGCGCACCGGCGGTGGTGGCGGCTTCGTTGGGCAGTGGTGGTTGCGATGGAGGACAAAGAAACGAAGGGGAAGGAGGGAGGAGGAGAGAGAAACTAAGGGGAAGGAGGGAGGAGGAGAGAGAAACGAAGGGGAAGTAGGGAGGAGGAGAGAGAAACTAAGGGGAAGGAGGGAGGAGGAGAGAGATACAAAGGGGGAGGAGGTAGGAGAAGAGAGAGAAAGGGGAAAAGAAGAGGAGAAAGAGAAAAAGAAAAAGGAGGAGGTCAAGGTGGAGTGGAGGACAAAGAAAGATCCGCCCTTTTGTTTTTTTTTTTAATTAAAAATCCATCGGAAAGGGGTACAATCCGTCGCAATCTACCGACGGAATTAATCCGTAGGAAATAATTATGTTCCGAGGGATTTATTTTCCCTCGGAATTTTCAGCTGCCTATGGAATTTTCCGTCGGTAGATATTTACCGAGGGAATATTCCGTCGGAAGAAGTAAATTCCGAGGGAAAAAAAATCCGTCAGAATATTTCCTAAGGAATTTCCCTCGGAACTTATCTTTTCCAACGGATATTTTTGACAGACCAAAATTCCGTCGGAAAGTTCGAATTTTCCGACGGAATTTAGGTCCGTCGGAATGATTCCGTCGTAAAACGGCCTATTTCTAGTAGTGTATATAGTTTATTTGATGTGCTGACCATGTCATGTCTTCTAGGGGTACTTGATAAAGTACATATTCTTCAGTTCTCCCTATCATTTGAACAGTTGCTGCCATATGGTATCCAAACTCCTCTTCAAAATCTTTGAATTGTGACAAAGTGAAAACCTGTGCACCAAAATCATGTAGCTACTGTTAATTTGCTATATATTTTGTGTTATTTATGTACTTTTAAGTATAAGTTTTTACCTGTGCGGCATGCTTTTAACATTCCGGACAATGGCAATGAAGTGAATGCTATTGACTTGCTACAGGTGAACTCTTCATATTTCTCTGTGCTTCTCCAACGATTTATTGTCTTTTTAGATATGGTATAAAATTCTGTCAAGGTAGTTGATTACTTGCTTTGAATCCTATTGCATGATTTGTGCTTTCACTCCTTTGTGATGAAAGAATTCCTGCTGAAAAGAAATCTCTACTAAGAGCTGGACACCATTTCTCTTTGAGTTCATACACTCTTTTGTACCAAGAGTGTGTTGTCAATTCAAATTTGTGTATCATTGCATGCCACCTTTCTTCAAATTCTTGTTCGGTCACACAACCCTTTAAGCATTTGTTGACTTCATGCTTAAACTCTTTATCTTTTTTAAGAGCCCAAATCTTGTGATTGCATTTTGTTCTAAATGCCATATACAAATTCGATGCCTTATTAGGTAACACCTACATTCAAAATAAAATGTTGTATGTTTTCAGAACTTATTAGTTTTGCAATCAAAATAGTTAGGGTAATATGTAAATATAAACTTTTTTCCTGCTCAATAACATTTGACATTGCTTGGTTCTGGTCAGTGAATATTGAGGTTGGTGTTTTATCCTCCATAGCTTTCAAAAAGGTTTCTAGTAACCACACAAATGACTCTATTATTTCATCCCCAATAAAAGCACATGCAAACATACAAATTTTCAAGTGATTGTTTCATGCCAACAAAAGGAGCACATATAAGATTATATCGGTTGGTTCTGTATGTTGTATCAAAGACAAGAACATTTCCGTATATCCTATAGTCTTCTAGCATCATTGAATCTCTCCAAAAGATGTTGGAAATGCTTCCTTCATTGTCAAATTTCACTCTAAAAAAGAAGTTTGGATCCTTTGATTGTGTCTGAATTAAAATGTTCACTAAAGTTTAAGCATCTCCAGCCTCAATTTGCTCCATTCTTAACCTTGAGCAGAAATTCAGGTGATTTACAACACTATACCCTACATTCTACTCTCCCCCAGCTTCTATAGACATGTAATTATAAGTGTCCATTGTTGTCAGGCCTGAAGCTTTCATTGTTTTGATTGCTTCAGCTTTTTCTTCTGCCATTTTCTTTCAGAACGATGCAAATAATGCCACAGTGACCTTGTTAGCTTATGGTTATGTTGTAATACATGTGCCACCACCTCAAAATGTCCTTCTTTATTTACTTTCGCTCTTATGCAAGCCTTGCAATCAGATCGTGCAATGGCTACTTGTCTTGGCTTTCTTGTTTTCACGTTTACATCCTTCATTAACCATTTCAACTAATTTTGTTTTCTTGTCGTTTGAATTTCTCTTTCCTTCTGCAGAACACACATAATTCTTCTCTTGGACTATCTTTGTGTGTGTGAAGTATCTTGTTGTATGCTTTCTTATTGAAAACCCCAGCATAGCAGCATGTTTTTCATACAATTCCAAAATTTCTACAAAAGTTTTTCTTACCACACCAACAAATGATTTCCTCTAAGATCTAAACCAGAGGCATCAATTGGATTTGCATATGTGATTTAATATAATGTTTTAGCATAATATTCACACAACACTCATACTAAAGGATTAATTCAGACATATCAGACAACCAGAGGCAGCATGCCATTCTGTTTATAAATCAAAGTGAAGGGGAGTAATAATATGTGTTATATAGGTCACTTATATGCATAAAATGGGTAACATTTGTGCATACAAAGGGTAACTCGTGCATTCTGAATTTTCTCAAGCGTAATTCGTGGATTAGTAATTCGTGCATTCATACAGATAACATAATTTCATATCAAAAATAAGAATTGTGATTCCTTATTCAACTAATTTGGTTATTCAACAATTGAAATAAAACAATATGAATTGGATGTTACCTTCAATTGCATTTGATTTATTTGGATGTTTGTTCTTAATTTGAGTCAATTCATTTATGAGGGACAACTTGATTTTCTCTCTCTTCTGCATTGTCTGCTTCTTCTGGATTGCTATTATCGCCAAAACTTTTTGTTTCTTCTTCTATAATCGAGCAATTTAAATCGATTTCAACATAACAAAAGAATTCGAGTTCTCAAAATTACCTAACAATGGAGTCAATTTGCCTCTGTTTTTGTAGTAATTCGTGGATTAGATTACTGCAATTTGAGGTATTGAAGTTTGCTGATGAATTTTCCATTGATGATCGAAGCCCTAAGGTATGAGTTTTCGCGTTTTCTCTTTGCACGTTCTCACTTTCTCTCTCCATTTTTGTTCAGCGTTTTCTAACTTTGAGGTATGAATTTTCGCGTGTATTGTTTTTGATTAGCAATGGATAAAGTAGCTTACACATTTTTACATACTAAGAGGGAATTAAGGAAGCAAATACCTAAATTTTGTGAAGGTAGCACATTCACTTTCCCATTTCACCAAATCTATGTTCGTTAACCAAACAATATTCTCCCTGTCAAAAAAAAGAAAAAAAAAAAAAAAACCCAAACAATTTTCTAAATAAAAAATATTAATCAAACAATTATCTACTTTAAAATTTCTAAGGAGTCTCATTTCTCCTAATTTATGTCAATTAAACAATCATCTAGTGTATAAAAGTAGCTAGTAACATATTTTGTATTTTTATCGTCTTGTTGGAGGAGAGGTAAGATCATTAATACTACTCCCTCTTTCTTAAGTGAGAAGAGTGTTACAACTTACAAACATATCAAAGTTAACCGTCAAATTCATGCAGCATTATTTAATAACCTATCAAAATAATGAAAACTACCAAAGACGTACACTGAGGATTAATTACTTAAAAGGATGTTTTCAAAACCTTATATATTATAAAGCATTAGCTGGAACAGCTACTGTAACAACTGCCAAGTGCAAATTGTAAGATTATGACTTTTTTTATTTTATTTAAATTTTTATGGAAGAGATTACGGCTTTCACGATGAGTCAATAATGATGCAAATCTCTTACATTACGTCTTTAAATCTGAATACAATAATTATCTGAAAATCTTACCAAAACACTCTTGGACAACGTGGCGGGTCTTAGACCAATTTATAAAGCGGCCAAAGTTCAAACTTTACATATTACATACTTTTTATGATTAGTACGTATTATAGACAACATATTTTTTTTAAAGAAGATTAGAGGTGTTAAATGTTAATTCGAGTCCCTTAGTAGTTGGTACAAATGAGTAATTTGTTTGGAGGTAAAGATGGCATCTTGTAACTATAAAGTTATGAGATTAATCCCCATACAATAGAGTAATTAATAATTAGGGGATGGATGGGTGAGGATTCTCTTAACACCTTCATTTTCAAGAAGGCTTGTTCACTAATAGTCTAATAGAGGTTTGGGTTGGCTCTAGTTAGGTTTGAGTCTAGCCAAATTATTAGCAATATATAGTTTACAGCGCGGTTTTTGTGTGGCTGGCCATACCATGTGGTCGGCTGACACACCAAAATACTGACCGAGTAACCCTGACTGAGTAACCCTTAACCAACTGAGTAGTCCCTGACCAAGTAAACCTAGATCAAGTAACCCCTATTCGATCGAGTTACCCTTGATCAAGTGACTCTTGACCGAATAAACCTTTACCAATTAACCTAGCTACACAGTATGGTCAGCCACATATGAAACTTTGTGTATAGTTTAACTTTGAAACTATTCTCATAACAACTAACTTTGACTATATCATTTACGAAGCACTACTTTAAAAAGAAAAAAAAAAAAGAGTAATCTAACTAGGTTAGTTGATTAAATTCTTACAATGTCATACTCAAGACTCGATCCTACAAGTCTCAACGAAGATCTTTTAGATAAATCATACCAATTATTTGGACCATTCCTCTAAAAAACAGCCGCACCATCTTCCACCAATACATCATATATATACACAACATTAAACAGAATAAAACAATCACCTAATTAAACTCAGCCGTTTAACAACTTTTCTCTCTCCTCGCCACGTATATCTCAACATACGTCTCCCACACCCAATTATCAAACACCATCAACATTTTTTTTTTAATTTTTCTTCCATTCAAATTTACTTCTCTTCTTCCTTACATTAACCGGCAACCACCGGTTACCGGCAAACGTTTTTGCCGGGAACCGTTGACCCGCACTTCCTTGCTTACATGTAACCGTCAACATCCCCTTCATTAACCGGTAACCTCCTCTTTACATTTCCTAAAATATAATAATAAAATTTATTACATTCACATTTTAATGGAGAACGAGAAAGAAAATAATCATGGGATCTACCTTCACGGTGATCTCGACCTCCACATTATAGAAGCGCGTTGTCTTCCTAACATGGACCTCTTCTCCGAAAACTTTCGTCGGGTTTTTTCCTCGTGTGGCGCTCCTTTTTCTAGGAGGAGGAAAGTATCATCCGAGGGGAAAAACCATGATCCGAATCATAAACTTCATTTAAAGAATAATAAGATCATCACGAGCGACCCGTACGTAACGTTTAATATAGGAGGGGCAACGGTGGCACGTACCCGTGTGATATCGAACTCTCAAACCCCGAAATGGGAGGAGCATTTTAGTATCCCCTTAGCTCATGCTGTGTCTGATGTTGAGTTTAAGATCAAGGATAATGATGTCCTAGGGGCTGACATGATCGGGACCGCTACCGTCCCGGCTTCGCTCATTATTTCAGGTGAGGTGATCGACGACTGGTTCCCCATTCTTAGAGACAACGGGAAACCTCCTAAGCCTAAAGCAGCGGTTCATCTACGTCTCAGGTTTTTATCTGTTTTTGTCATATTTTTCTAAAGTTTTATGTTCGTCAACTTTAATCATAAAATTATTTAATATTCTATAATAAAATATTTTTAAAATTTCGATTTTTTAAAAAGTTCATGAATTTGAATCTGACATGGTTATATATTTCCATACATAGAAATTACAAGTATTGTAAGAGAAGTGTATGAATTGAGTAAAAGACCAAATATGGAAGTATTTTTATTTGAAAGAAAATTCTATATTCGGTAACTGATCATAATGTAGAAGATGATGGTCTTGATAGAGAGCTATTTGGTTGGTTGAATCTCGAACGTTCCTTCCCGGCTTCCATATATTCTATATTATTATTTAATCAACAAAGAAATTCCGGATTTTGGGATCTAAGAAGGTGGATAGAAACTTGGAAGTGGTCCTCTTTGGGTTTTGTTTATAGTTTTTTTCTAGAACACAAAATCTCGTAGAGACCCGACCAAACTCAGGTTCATCATATTTACATGAGTTATGTTTGTATGTTGTGGAAGTAAACCATGGTTAGATTCTTAGAGTTGCCCTTCCTATATATAATTAATAACTCCATAATTATTAATCCAGTACATTAAAAGGAGAATCTATGAATGAGTACACAATAAGATTACAATAAGGATGTTTTAAACATGGGTAAAATTGATTGCTTTATAAATTGGGTAAGTAATATTTGTTTAAATGTAATACTCCATAGAATATATTCCATTAAGGGGGGGAAAAAATAAAAAAAATAAACTCTAGTGTTGCGGTTTTATTAGTGACATGCTAACAATACTTTTGGAAAGAAGAGAAAGTGGGATGATCATTTGCTCTACATGGCTGGACTTTAAAGAAAGTGGGATGATCATTTGCTCATTCGATTCTATGACAAAAATGTCCACAGATTCATTCCATGTGATGCCAACCAGAGCAATGCAGATGGGGAACATAGGGTGGAACGGAGCTACTTCCCTGCGCGACCAGGGGGAAGGGTGACATTGTACCAAGACGCTCATGTACTGGAGAACGAGTTGCCAAGGATTGAGCTAGAACAAGGGGTGGAGTATCAACATGGGAGTTGTTGGGAGGATATATGCCATGCTATATTGGAGGCACATCACCTGGTGTACATTGTAGGGTGGTCAGTTTACCATAAGGTTAAGCTGGTGCGAGAGCCTTCTAGACCGTTGCCTAATGGAGGGGACTTGAGTCTAGGGGACCTATTGAAGTATAAGTCCCAGGAAGGGGTCAGAGTGTTGTTGCTTGTTTGGGATGATAAGACTTCCCATAGTAAATTCTTCATCAACACAGTAAGAATCTTATTATGGGCTTAGTATGCTTAAGATTCCGTTTTAACCAATTGATTTTTCATATGATTATTTTCCTTTTTTATGTTGCAGCAAGGTGTTATGCAAACTCATGATGAACAAACAAGGAAGTTTTTCAAGCATTCCTCTGTCATTTGCACTCTGTCACCGCGTTATGCCAGCAGTAAGCTTAGCATTATCAAGCAGCAGGCATGCTTTTGTTGTATATTGTTTATCCTTCTTTAAATGTTTTCTGTATCTAGCTCTTGCTTCTGTGTTAACTCATTTCTGAGACATCTATTATGAGAGAATTTTGCTGCACAAGAATGACAATCATTTCAACTTTTGCTAAGCATGGAATATACTTTATCTCTAATATTGAGAGCATCAGAAATTAGAAAATGCTTAGGATATCAAGGACAAGACGCTATTATTAGACTTCCATCATAAACCAGAACTGTTTTAGGAAACGTATTAAATGTTCCTGCCATTCTGATGATTAGTCTATCTGACTATCAATTCAGACACCCATTTTATTTTTGTAGCTCAACTTCTATTCTCTTCTAATAGAATTTATAACTAATATATGCTGTGTAATGATCTATATTCTGCAAACCTAGTCCCAAAACCAAACAGGCTCTTGATAAGTATGCATTGAGTCAGTTACCAGTTAGCCACTTTTAATTAAAATTATGTTATTTATGTTCATGATTTCAGGAAGTTCCTCTGTTTCAAATCCATCTAATATTACTTGGTATTGAGATGAGAAATTTATGAATGCTTGGATTTCTAAGCTCCTTTTTTCCTTTAAGTATAGGTTGTGATTGTTTCTTATGATGATGTTTTGACCTCAGGTTGTTGGTACCCTGTATACACACCATCAGAAATGTGTCATTGTGGATTCTCAAGCACCTGGGAATAACAGGAAGATAACAGCTTTTTTGGGAGGTTTAGACCTTTGTGATGGTCGGTATGATACCCCGGCACATCGTCTCTTTCGTGACCTTGACACTGTTTTCAATGATGATTACCACAATCCTACATTTGAAGTGAGTTTCAGACAAAAAAGGCTTGTTTCCTTTGGAGCAGTAACAAATCAGAGTTTAATCTAAACATTTGTTTATATATTTTGACAGGGAACAAAGGGTCCTAGACAACCATGGCATGATCTTCACTGCAAAATTGAAGGGCCAGCAGCGTATGATGTGCTTACCAACTTTGAGCAGCGATGGAGAAAAGCCACAAAATCGTCTATAAGACGGAAAATCAAGAGCATTTCTCACTGGCATGATGATGCCTTACTGAAAATAAAGCGTATATCTTGGATACTTAGCCCTGTTAATTGTGCATCCCCAAACGATCCATCACTTTGGGCTTGTGAAGAGAATGATCCAGAGGGTTGGCAAGTTCAGGTAGCTAATCTAACATATTAGCTAATATAAGTAGTTGGACGGGTTGCTAATAACTCCATCCCAGCTGATTTCTTGCTGTGTTAAAAGTACTTGGAGGAGGGGTTGCTAATAACTCTATCCAATTTTTTTCAAGAAAAATACAACTGGGAACATTTAGAAGAATGGATGTAGTACCGCCTAGATGTGCTACTAATTTTAACTTCTTATCTAAAACTGTGTTGATGCAGGTTTTTCGGTCTATAGATTCAGGTTCTGTACAAGGATTCCCAAAGGATGTTCAGGAGGCTGAGTCTCAGGTTCGTTAGATGTTTTGCTTTTGCCCTAACTGTACTGTTAGCTATGTATTTTCGATAATGAAGCCAATTTGGACTCAATGTACCTGTTTTCATTGCAGAACCTGGTTTGTGCCAAGAATTTGGTGATAGACAAGAGCATCCAAACAGCATACATTGAAGCAATCAGATCTGCTCAACATTTCATTTATATAGAAAACCAGTATTTCCTTGGATCATCATATGCATGGCCAAATTACAAAAATGCTGGTATGAAATTTTCAGCTTCCCTTTCTTATAATCTTGCTGTTTAAGTTGTTTAGAAAATGTGAATGTTCCTGTTGGATTCGATAGCTAGTGTGCTTAATGATAACATACTGGCAGGTGCTGATCATTTGATACCTATGGAGTTGGCACTGAAGATTGTTAGCAAAATCCGAGCCAAAGAGAGATTTGCTGTCTACGTTGTCGTCCCTATGTGGCCTGAGGGTGTACCCACCTCTGCTTCCGTGCAAGAAATTCTTTTCTGGCAGGTAACATACCAAACCGGTCATGGTTCAAGATAGTTATGGACTGATTCATTTTAGCCTAACATGTGCATTTCAACAGGGTGAAACCATGCAAATGATGTACAGCATAATAGCACAGGAGATTAAAGCAATGAACCTCGAGGATGCACACCCACAAGACTACTTAAATTTTTATTGTCTAGGAAATCGCGAACCAGCCCTGGTCTTGGGAGATAGTCCACTGTCATCCAAAAATGGTGAAGGGGTAACACTCTTAAGCTCTTTGATTCAAATCTATAAATTATATTTTCTGTTATTTAATCGATATTATAATATACGATCTTCTTTATTGATTGTTAAGGGTCCATGATATTGAAATTTTAATTGCGTGAGAAAAAGTTCTTAGTTTTTGTGCAATTTACTCAGGTTCTACCTTCACAAAAGTACCGAAGATTCATGATATATGTTCACGCCAAGGGAATGATAGTTGATGACGAATATGTTATATTGGGGTCAGCCAATATCAACCAGAGATCAATGGCTGGTTCAAGAGACACCGAGATAGCTATGGGTGCTTATCAACCGCATCACACCTGGGGTAGAAAGAAGAGACATCCACTCGGCCAGGTTAGTAATCACACCTAGTCCATTTTTTTGGATTTGGGAGATGAGAGATGACATTGTTCTTTATGATTAAAAGAACCAATGCCTTTGTATGTTGTAATTGTTTCAATCCTGCAGGTCTATGGGTATAGAATGTCGTTATGGGCAGAGCACCTAGGAGGGCTAGACGATCTCTTTAAGGAAGCCGAAAATTTGGATTGTGTCAGATCTGTAAACAATATAGCTGATGAAAACTGGAAGAAGTTTGTATCTGAAGATTATTTTCCATTGCAAGGGCACCTCCTTAGATATCCTCTAGATGTGGATAAGGATGGAAAGGTTCAGTCATTACCTGGGCACGAATATTTCCCTGATGTTGGTGGTAAGGTGCTAGGAGCTGCTAACTCCCTTCCAGATGCACTCACTACTTGAAAGTTGAAACATTGTTTGTTGCTTGATCATGCTGCTTTAACGCGCTTCTTCTGCATATAATACCTGTGTACAAACTACAGAGTACAGACTGACCTTATATAACATAACTAACACATGACAGAGGAATAGGAAATTGGACAGTTTTTTTGCTTTTCGTTCCATTCTTTTTTTCCCAAGTGGTTATTCGGGTGATTTTTGAACTTGTGAAGATGAGAAGATTACTTAAAACTTTAATATTTGTTAAATATGCAGTAACAAAGATGTATACTGTATAGAAGAGTGGATAAATTGAGGTTACACTCTCATTTCTACTTAATTATACGCCAGAAATTGTCACTTGCTCCTGCAAATATTGGATTAAGTAGTGTTTCTGGAAATGGAAAATTTCAGCAGAATTCATGCAAGAAAATATATTATATGGTGGCATTTGTGGTGTAAGTTAAATTTTCGGTTTGCACTTAGCCAAACTTAATGTCTTCATGGTATAAATTTGCCTAAATCGAATCCAATCCAATAATCTAAATCACTTAATTTGATTTTTTTTTATTTTTTTCCTAACAAGCAATAAGGACCAATGATTTAATAACCACCATTATAAATCTACAATAATAAGTGAACATTGCAAAAAATAAAAAATGATTTCTAGAATTTGTAGCCAAAATTTTTGTTGTTGCTATGTGTTGCAAAAGCTCATTTTACCACACTAATAAAGTAATAATGTACTCTTAAGTCTTATTATTCCTTACTTAACAACATCATCACTTTAATAACACCCAATAGATTTATACTTTAGAAGGATTTTTGTCAAATTTTTATACATAACGTACTAATTATGCAGGTAGCATTGCTTACGTAACAAATTTCTGTATGATTTAACTTATTTTCGTCGCAAATCATTAGCCTCAAATAGCAAAATATAAAATTATTAGCTCATACAAGATATAAAACAATAATTAAAGGGAAGAAAAAAAAGATTACACAAATGTGCTAATTGTACCAATTAACAAGATTTTTTGTAAAATATAATAATAGCTCTACAACAAACTCATGAATTTATTCAAATATTAGTTAATTAACGGTAACTTTTCCCACCATACCAGCACCCTGGTGAGGGGAGCAGTAAAACTTGTAAGTCCCTTTCTCAGTGAGGGTAACTTTGTATGTCTCACCAGCAGCATTCAACAAATCCTCCTCGGACATCGATATCTTTCCGGCATCAACACCAGAAGGGATCTCGTCTTCGTCGAAGACAACGTTGTGTGGGAATCCGGCATTGTTCTTGAACAAGATCTCCTCACCGGAGGCAACGGTGAAGTCACTGGGGATGAAAGCCAATGACCCATCATCGCCTCCGAGCAAGACGTCAAGGGCCATGGCGTTTCCGGCGAGAATTCCGGCAGCGGCGGTGGCGACCACGGCGGCGCCGACGTTCTTCAGGGATGCCTTGACTGACATTCTTGGGACGGCGGTGGTGGTGGGTATGACTTTGACTGTTGATGCCTTGGCCGGAACCGTGGCCTTGAGGCCGGTAAAAGATGGGACGGCGACGGCGGCAGAGGAAGTGACAGTGGCCATTGTAAGAGGAGTTTAGAGGGGTTTTAGGTAAGTGGTATGTGAGGAGGAAATACCAATTGCCAAAGAGTGGAGAGAATGAGGGTGGGATTTAATAAGAGGTGATAAAATGGAGGATATGGTGGTATGGTTTAATTGGTTTGTGTGGTTTGAATTGGAGGGAATTTTAGTGGCTTTGGATAAATGGATTTTGTGATTTGTGGGCCAATTAGGGGTGCTATCTGGTTTTTGATTGGTTGTTGTTAGATTATATCTGATGTTGTGAATTTTGGGAGGGTAAGTTATTCAGTAAACAATTGTTCTATCAAAAAAAAAAAAAAAAAAAAAAAAAAAAAGGGAATTGTCAAGTACCCATTGTCCAAGTAAATTGCACCTTATATTTATCAAAAAATATAAAGTTAACTACACCCTAAACAATAACTAGTCTCTATTTGTAATTTTAGTTAACATTTTATAGCTAGTTAAAGTTTTGAAAATTAAGCACTCATATTATCTAAACTAGTTTAAGTTCCGTGCAATGCACAGTTTTTAGTTAACCTAATAATGAATTTTTAACAATATTTTTATTTAAAATTAATACTTGAATTTCTGGTTTTTAGTTAACCTAATTATGAATTACTATGTTAATTTAACAATATTTTTTTATAAAAAATCAATATTTTTAATTGAAATTAATACTTAAATATCTTTTTTTAAAAAGAAATATTGTCATTAAACATTTATAAAAAAACGCAAATTTAATAATTATAGGATTTTATATAAGAATGAAATTTTATGTTAGTTATAACCCGCGCTTGCAATGTACTTATATACGTCATATGTTCCTATTTTATTGGCATGTTTTGACCGGCACAATATTTTATAGCATACTTTGACTGGCATAATGTTTTATACAAATTGGCTTTCTTAAAATCGAGAATTTTTAAGCCAAAAAAAGGACTATTTTATTCGTTTTTAGGTTGACTTATTTTTTGAGACAAGTGATAATCAAGGTTTTTTAATTTTTATTGTATATATATAGTTATTGAATTGTAGTATAATTATTATAAAATCAACAAATATATATTAAAAGCTAAAGTGTTAATCCCGATTGGAGCAAATAAACTTTCAAAGAAAAAAATGCAATGTAGAATGACACGGAGTACAGGAGTAGTATATTATTCCAATATATTACCTTATATACGTAGTATATGTTTGTTTATTATAGAAAAATACTTATTATAAAATATATGAAAGATATGTTAAAATATTTTCGTTGAATGCATATAAAATATACTCTGAATATAGTTGCCAAATTGAAAGTTAGATATTATAGGGTATATAAATTAATATGCATGAATATTTGTTAAAAAAAAAAAAAGAAAAAAAAAAGTAAAATCGGCGGGAAATTTTATAATCAGAACATGACAATTTTCATGTCAGACCGCCTTTAGTATTATGTTATTGATTATTATGTATAAAAGGTTTATTTTTTATTTTATATTTATTGATTTTTTTTTTTCCGATTTTAGATTTGCATTAATATGAAAAAGTAAATTTATTGTTATTAATATTTTTTTTTTTTGAAAGATATTGTTATTAGTATTTAATGCTACATCATGTACATATCTTGATTTATATATTAAATAAAAAGATATTATTAGAATCATCCATGAAAATAATAATTTAAGATATATTAATGATTAGTATCAATTATATTAAAAGAAAAATAGGCGGGAATTTTTTTTAATCACACATTGACACGTGTCATTTAAGATTCGCCTTTAGTATAGGTTTATTGATTCAAATTATCACATCATTATTATTTACTAAAATTAGTAACAAAACATTATGGGGGATCATGGTGTAAATTAATCAAATATTTCAGATGGATGAATTTGATGGCGAAATGGCCTTAATACCCTAATCTAGTTTATGAGCTTAATTTTCATCTTGACAAAAATAAATAATTATTGTACAATTTTTAAAACTGGATAACTATTGGCGCATAGTAACTATGGGCGAAGAAGTGTATAGGATGGCAACTGTGAAATTAAAATGATGTTTGGTGAAGGAAAGTGGGCCATGCTTATAACGGTACGGTGAAAGCAAAACGGGATGAAAAAAAAGAAGCAAGAATTGAAAATGTAATCTCACTCCTACTTTTGGCAGTAAGAGATTGAAAAAGAAAAAAAATGGGAATGGAAGCAAGCTCATGAACAGTTCATGGCGACACCATTGTTCCCAAAATCTTCAATTCTCAAGACCAAATTGCAAATAATTTGTGGTGAAGTAGATTATCAGGATGAGAAATCTGTTAGGCGACATTTTGGGTGTCGATCTAGTCGTAGCAGGGAAGATGGCAAAGACGGCCATGGATGCACAAGGGAATTGCGATACGACGCTGAGGATGTAATTCTTTACCTTTGTTAGTGTTGTTTTTTGAAATTGAGGGTTATAAATGAGTATTTGAATTGGGTAATTATGAAATGTAGACTCTTTTAATTAGATGATGAAGATGTTAGGCTTAGGACCCTTTGTTATAAATTTCATATGAACTTCAATCCATGTAATTGAGTAAGTATACGGCTAATTGGTAATGTTAAATTGAGTAAATCTTTGATATGAATGTTGATTGTTCATTGTTATTTGATAAAATGTGTAGTGTAGTTGAGTTGTTTAATTTGTTTAATGTATTATAATTTTTGGAAATGTGTTGGTTTTAGATTGGGAATGGAGTGAAGGATGAGTAGCTCCTAATTGTATGAGTGTAATAAATTTATTGTCCAAATTATACAAAAAAAAAAAAAAAAAAAGCTTTGAACTTGTATTTTTTCAAACCAGTTGCTATTAAAGAAGGGGAAAAAAAAGTTTTGTTATGTGATGATATAGTTTGTTGGGTTTGGTGTTGTTGTGTATGTCTTTGGTTATTGGTTGTTTGTTGTAATGTTTTATTTAGAATGAGTCATGGTTGTGTATGTGAATTAGGTGGATGTTGGTGATGGATATGAAAATGGTGGGGAGGATGATGTATCTGTTTATGAGGAGGTATTAGAGAGTGATGATGGATTAAGAGAAGGAGATGAGCAGGAAGATGAAGAGGGGGAAGGTTTTGAGGTTGAGGATAAGGGGGCAGATTATGAGGAAGATGAAGTTGAGTGTGGTGTTGAAGGGGAATTTGATGGGGCTGATGTAGAAGGTTCCTCATTCATAACCCCAAAAAAGAACACGGTAATGGTGAACACCGTGTTTGGTGTGGAAGAGGAAGTACCACCCCCAACATTGGGCATGGTATTTGGGAGTTGGGATAAGTTGGATACCTATTTCTGGAGTTATGGTAGGCAAAAGGGTTTTGGTATAGTGAGGGCTGCTTCTAGGTGGGTAGATGTGAAGAAGGATTTGGAAAAGGGGAAGTGTTGTAAGCAAAGAAGGAATGCTAAGTGGACTTGTGACTGTTATGGTAACGCTACAAGGAAGCGTAAACAGGATGCACTTAAGGAAGGGTTATTGCAAGATGAGGAGACAGTACAGAAACGGAAGACCAAAAAGTGTGGGTGTCCTGTGGAGTTGTATGCCGGTGTTAATGAGGAAGGCAATTGGGTTGTTTGAAGGCTGAAATTGGAGCCCAAAGGTCACATTGTTACACCGGGAAAGTCAAAGGATATAGCTATTTCGGGGGTTTTTTAGATGTCCTGCGGGAGAGTTACAGCACCAAGACTGACTTCTGGACGTCTGTACCTGCAAAACAACAGAGACTCCTGTGGGTGGGAGTTCCGCCTCCGACGATCAAGTTAGAACATGTTCGAATGTAAAGATGCGGAAAGTAAAGGGGATCAGGCTCCTCTTAGAAGGGGAGTGATCATTCGACTGCCTGAGACAGTCTCGATATCCGAGCCTTAGCTCTCAAAGAGTGAAATTAATGCTGGGTTTTATGCGCAACAATTAATGTACACGTGTGTTTGGAAATTTTTTGAATGATGTTCCTCAGAGGGAACATCTCCCTTTTATAGGGTCATGAAATGTGTGCCCAGTACTAGGTTTTTAGAAACTTAGGACTGACTGGGCTTGCCTAGGTATTTGGACCATTAAAGGCCACTTTCCTAGCTAGCAATCCACCTGCCACGTGTTGTGGCCTGATTGGTCCACCTTGGACCTCTCACGAGGTGACACGTGGCGGGCTCTGGTTGGTCCACGTGGATGACACGTGGCAGAGCTCCATTGGTCCACGTGGCGGGGAAAAATCCCCTCATCAGTAGCGATGTACCGAAAACACGAGTTAATGGTGAAAAACAATCACTTGGTGAACCAGGTGCATACGGTGAAGAAGTCTAAGGTGAAGGTATCCTAAATGTACAGTTGTTATGCTCGGGAGTGTAATGGAGTAGAGGATATGACATTTACACAAAGAGACTTGGAGAATGCAGTGGCTCAGAAAACCAAACTTGAGCTTACTGAGGGTGATGCTAATGGCATGATAGAGTACTTCAACAAAATGAATGCTGACAATCAAAAGTGTTTTCCATCTATGTCGGTTTGGGAAGGACGGGACATTACAAGATGTTATGTGGGTAGACGCGAGGAGTAGAGTTGCGTATGAGGAGTTTGGAGATGTTATGTGTTTTGACAGTACGTATTTGACAAACAAATCTCACCTTCCCTTTGCTGTGTTTATCGGTGTGAACCATCATGGACAGAGTATTTTGTTTGGATGTGAATTGATCTCTCGGGAGACGGAAGAGACCTATGAGTGGGTGTTGAGGACTTGGCTACATTGCATGGGGGGTAAAGCTCCAATCTCAATCCTAACGGATCAAGATCCGATGATTAGGAAAGTTGAAAACTTAACTATGCCCGAGAGTTGCCATAGGTGGTGCATATGGCACATACTTCAGAGGATTGGGAGGTATGTAGGTAAGCATGAGGATTATGGAGTTGTAAAGGATGAGTTTGAAAATATTATTTATGGTAGTTTAGATCCTGATGAATTTGTAGATCGTTGGGTGGACGCAGTTGATTATTACAAATTAGGAGAAAACAGTTGGCTTGAAGGTACTGCACTTCCATTTCTTCTTTTATTTTTTGTTACTGATTTCTGTTAGAATATGCAGAGTTGTAGCTATCTGTGCAAGGGACTGGAAGCTGTTTCAGTTATGA